GCGGTAGACGGTTTGTTGTATGCGATGGAGCACCCATCGTTGTGGTAATCGATGGTTTTCCCGACGAAGGAGAATCGACAGATTGATGATTAGTTATGGGCTCGACACGTGGATTCAGGGAGGATGAACTTGAGCTGGACACTAGAAAAGGAAATATTTCATTATTAGAAAATAAACGCGATAATAAGAGATGATTCTAGCAAAATAACAAAAATGAAATAGATACATTTAATGGCGCATGCTAAGAAAATTGTAGTATAGTACCTGGCTGCATTGTATTTGACCGTTGATGCATCGTAGCAAACATTCGTCGACGATCCATCTGATGATTTGTAGCGCGTTGTTTTTGAATTTTTGTTTTTAAATTTGTACAGAATGGAACCTGCAACAAAAAACAATGTACAAGAACTTCCTTTTCATTATCCTTTTGTAGAAAAAACACATACTTGACAATTTTGTTCATTACAACTTTTCGCGTGATACCAACATAAAAATATCACTTGTTTACATATATTACATTGGCTATTTTTTCCTTTACAATCTTTTGTATGTTGAATAACTCGTTTATAACGTAAACAACTACGATTAATACAATTAGCATTTCGACAATTGACGGCATGTAACAGAGCTTCTATACAGCGTTGCATGGATTGTTGTCGCTGTAATTGTGGACTAGCCAATGATTTATCCCCATTTGGATTATTAGCACTATGTTCATCGTTGCTAACGTCCACCAATGATTGTTGTACTGATCGTTCCATTTTATGTTCATGCTTTTCTTGATAATAACATTTTTCACATAGATCAAAATCTTCACAAACCGTACAATGATATCGAACATCACATTGTTGACGACAGTGATTACAATTATATGTAAATTTATCCGTTGTCGATGAATGTAATTCATGTAAAAGTGCCATCGTTGAAAATTTAGCTCGACGTAAACTTGAAAATTCATAGTGCTTATCACGTGCAAAATTCAAAAACGAATCACGTGTGTCCATTAAATCACACTGTATCAATGCATCAGTATCATTCACTGGTGGATGAGTAATGAGTGGGTTACGTAGGCGAATGACAAAAAATGCCTGAAAAACAACAAAAATAATAATATCGGTATCAGTGTGACAGTAGAAACATACCTCTTTGTGTTTTTCCATCGTGGTGAATATTTTTGTTATTAAATCAGAACAATTTGAAATTTGTTTTTTAGCTATTTTACGCTGACTAGCTGTTTTCTTTAAATTTTTCTTTTTATGTGTGTTGGCAGATTTACGTTTATCTGATATCTAAGAGAAAAAGAATGAGTTTATAAGAGCTATAAAAGAAAACAGCAATGACGCATACGTCTGTTGGATCATCGGGTTCGATAGGATCATCAAGAGCACCATCTTCTACTATTCTTGCTGCTTCAACTTCTTCTTTTTTTCGACGTTCTTCTTCTTCTTGCTCGAGTTCTGTAAATAAATATTTCAAAATGTATTCAATTTCAATATAACAGTAGAAGCATTTCTAACGAACAGTTTCGCAAATTATAAATCTTAATAACAGATTTTTAACGCGAAAAAAACTGTTGGTTCATTTTTGTCGAAAAAATATAGTCAGTCTAGATTTCTTACCTTTTATACTTTCTTCAATGATATTTGACCAAAAATCACCTTCAAAATACGGAATATTAATCGCTGTCTGAACTTGATTATCCGTACAATCTTTCATTATGTCCTATTTCAACAAAAATAGTTCAGTAAGGCGAAAATATTATCAGGGCTTTGCTCGCAATCAAAACAACG